TATCTTAGAGCTTTAGAAGGGCTTAGAGCTTGAAGATCACTTGCAGTAAGCTTCTGGCCTCCCACTCTACCATTTTACCTATTTTTCTTTGAGTTTGGAGATTATTTTTATATTAGGGTTTTCCTATATGGTAGATAATTCGAAGCTATGATGATTTATTATTTTTTTTTTTTGAGGTTTTTAGGAGAATAATAAATATTAAGAAACATTTCTTTAAGGTTGGATTTCAAAATTAGAGATTTTTCATTAAACTTTAAACTTTTGACTTTGAATCTGAGGCTAAATCTGCAATTTTAAGATGTTTTCTAATGATTAAATGTTTATTTGAGTAGAGATAAATGTTTTTAAGGTTTTGGAATGGTGATTTAATCTTTCATGACATTTTTGGGCGAATTTAGGAATATCAATTGATGAAATTGTGGTTTTATGAGTTATTTGTGACTTAATTATAATTTATGAGTGTATATATGGGAATTTTAGAGAGAAGTATGGAATGGCTAAAATGGATGATAATCTTAATTTAATGCTAATTGTGGGTTAGGCCTAGACTTTCTAACTTTATAATTATAGTTATTTATTGATTTCAAATGAGAAATCAATATTACATGTTATGAAATACTTGTGTAAATTGTATTGATCAAGAGTGTGCTAAAAGTAGTGTTTTGAAAGGGAACTTGTTGACCAAACCACAAGGTAACCATTATTAATATGTGATTTTGCATGCTTGTGATTGATTATGTGTGATTTTATTATGTTTGGAAAATCATTTTATGTTTGGAAAATCATTTTATGTTTGGGAGGAATATATTTTCTTGGAAATTAATGAATTGCCAAGTAGGATGAACTATATATATATATATGTATATCAATACTATGTTTAGTACAATTATTGTTTGGAAGCATAAATTTGTTTGATTGTGTTTTTGTTTCACTACAATATTTTTGTTCTATGGCAACAGTCAGAAACTATTTCCACAAGATGAAAAACTATTAACTATATGCATAAGCAATAGGTTATAAGTGTACCCCTACTACCTATAGTCTAAGTGTAACAGTCCTCACCCCACTTTATCAGGGGTCTTTTAAACTGGGCCAACTCACATCACTACAGCAGAAGCCAACTTTTTCTAAGGTGGTACTTAGGTTATTTCTCAATCAATAATATCAGACTTAGCCTCAACTTCATTAAGGTAATAAAGGTTGGAGGTTTGAGTTTGGAAAGATTTCAAAAGACCTCTTCGGTGGGGTGAAAAATAACTCAAACACCACATTAGAAAAAGCTGGCTTCCACTATAGTGATATGAGTTGGCTCAATCTAAAGGTAAGGACTGTTACAATTTTGTTTGTCCCTCATGGCTTTTGATTAACTCAGCATGCCTTATCATGAGGACTTTATCTATTCCTCATGGTCTTGATTGTTCACTTGAAATGTTGATAGATCAATTTTGTTGGAATCTTGATTAGTTAGTTATGACTACACAATTATGTTAGGTGATTGTAACCCAACTTTAGCTTTGCTTTTCCTTTTATTTTGGTTATGTTTGCTAGATGATGTCAAATGTGGATCTGTTGTAGTCAAATGTACACTTTAGAGTGGACTTTGGTTGAATCATGGTATTAAGATGTGAAAAGCATTGTTCAGACCCATTTTGGATATTGAAGATTACCTTATGTTTGGAGAGTGTGGTCATCCAACTAGAGTTTGGTGTATTTGTTATAGTTGTATACTTGAGTCACTTGATGGCTGTGAAAATTTATGAAAATTATGAAAATTATTTGTATACTTGGATCATGGTTTTTTTTTTTTTTTGTTACCATCATAAACTTTACGAAAATTATTTTAATTCTTAATCATATGGTAGTCATTTTTTCTACCATGATAAGGTTTAAAAATTAATATATAAGGTTTTTTCTATCACAATAAATCATTATTTATTATAGTAATGTTTTGAAAATTGGTTTGCTTTTTTATTATCATAGTAAACACTTTTCTATCATAATAAATGTTTAAATAGTTAAGGTTTGAACACCAAATCATATTTCAGTGAAAGATTGGTATGAGATTTTAAAGTAGCAAAGTTATAATTTTGATGGAACAGTCGAGGGAGAGTTCGAAGGGTCCTTCGATCATGATTGGTCAAGAAGGCCGGTCATGAGCTTGGTGTTCTGGAACTCAAAGGGTGCGTTCTTGTTCACCATCATGAGGAGTCACCGGATCGATATGCTAAAGGTTGCTTGATTTTGGGCTTCAATTAAGAAGCTTACTACATGCAGCTCACTTTAGCACCTGAAGGAGATCTGGGTCAGCAAATTTTCTTTGGTCATTAACAAGAGTTTCCGTGGCAAATAATAGTTTGAGTCATGCTGCGCAGTGACGAATCCAAAAACAAGTATTTTGGGGGAGGGGGGGATATTTAAAACTACTTAAAATATGAGGGGCTAATACTAATGTTTATGATTTTTACATGCAAAATTTAAAAAAAAAAAATTCAAAGAGGTGGTGAAATTGTGGGGGGTCAGCACCACCCCCCCCGGTGGTGAAATTGTGGGGGGTCAGCACCACCCCCCCCCCCCCCCGGCCCTCCCTTGCATTCATCCCTGATGTTGCGCTGAAAAAAAAATGGGAGAGATCATGAAAGTAATCGAAAAATTTGATGGCCGCTCCAATCAAGTTTTCAAGAGAGGATGAGAAATCATATATTTTTAAAATTTGATTAATAATTAATTTAGCAGAACTTTTATTAGTTTTTTAGGTGTTTGGTCATAAAAAAAAAATCAGTTGGTTCAAGTACTTTCAAGTATTAGTACTTAGAAGTAAATATATATAAGAAATAAAGACCATTTTTCTATCTTTTAACTATTCACTCACAGGTTATCCTAAATTTTTATATGTTGTAATTTTTTAAAAATTTTTAAAATAATGCATTAAGCATCTTACCATTAAAAAAGTTATTTTAACCATTAGTTGACTGAAAAATTATAAAAATAGACCTAAAAATTATAAAAATGACACATAAAATTGCAAATTAATACCTTATAAAAAAATTAATATTGACTAAATTTTTAAAATAATAGTTGGTCAAAATTGTATTTTGGCTTATAAGAAATAACATTTATATAATGTTATTTATATATAATTTAGGAGACTCAATTAATATTAATTTTTTATAGGGTACTTATGTATAATTTTATTAATCCTTTTTTTTATAATTTTTATGTCTTTTCTTATAATTTTAAAGCCCGCTAATAGTCAAAGTTAGTTTTTTAACGACATGGTGTTCAATATATCAATTTCAAAAGTTGAAGAGACGAATTGCACCATATAAAAATTTAAAATACCATTACTCTTGTGCCAATAGTTTTGGGACAAAATTGCCCTTTAACCTTATATATAATAATAAGAACAACAACACAAAAATATCATAGCATAAACATATTAATTCACTGATAATCATTTCCTAGACATTGAAGTTAGATGTTTCTTGATATTATACTCCCTTTGTTTTAAAATATATGCCACTTTCTCTAGCTAACACTGTTTCAAAATAAAAGAGGTTACAAACTTTATTTCATTTTGACTTTCGCACATGACATCCCCCATTAAAAAATTATTGACAAAAATAGTCTCTTTCTAATTTAACTCATGTGACAATTGAGCCTAAGGGTAAAGACGGAAATCTGTAGATATAACTAAGGGAAATTCACATATGAAGCCCACCTAAGGAACATAATTATTCTCCATGCCCAATGAATATTCTGCAAGCCAAAGGCCTCAAGTACAATTATTTTTCAAGATGCAAAGATTGAGGTACCATTAATGAGTAAAAATACACATGCTCAAAGGAAATTAATAATAGAAGGTTCATAAATAATAAAAAAAAGGTTTAATTATTTACAACTAGAAATCCATTTATTCACAAGAAATTAATATATCTTTATACTTGTACTTGAAAAATACAAGTTAACCAAATAAAATTAAGAACAAAAATTCTATAAATAATAAAAAAATATAATTATTTATAATAAAAATTCTAATTATTCACAAGAGCCCGTGAGAATTTATTCTTTTACTTGAAAAAATTTATAAGTTAATCAAATAAAATTAATAACATAACGGAAGGCCCATAAATAATAAGAAAAGTCTAATTATTTACAACAAAAAATCTTTTTATTCACAAGAATCCGCATAGAATTACATTTGTATTTGAGAAAATTAACAACACAAAGTTAATAAAATATCAAGAAAATTTCAATTATTCACAACAAAAAAATCTGTTTATTTGTAAGAAGTCATGTGAGCTTACACTTGTATTTAAAGAGAAGAAAATTTACATGTTAACTAAAGAAAATTAATAATAGAAGGTTCATAAATAAGAAAAATTAAATTTAATTATTTACAAAAAAAAATCTATTTGTTTATAAGAGTCCATGTGGGTTTACATTTAAGACCTTTTCATTCATAAAGGCTATCAAGTTATTTCAAAGAGCAAAGTAATTGCACTTAAAGCTTCTGGACATCCCATTAGAATTCATTAAGCCTCCACAATAATTATGTTCCTTGAGTGGATCTTATATGCTATTCTCCCTATAACTAAATTTCATGTGTAAGCGGATTTATAGTTAAAAGTTGTTTATAATCAAATTTTGTTAACATAAATAAGTTTAAGCAAAGAGCTATACGTTTCATCCAAAGCAAAGCTCTCATGATTGGTCTTATTTGTTTTCTTCTTTTTTCTTACTCTCGGCCAGAGTCCAGGGTGTTTTAATTTAACGTGTGAACATGAATGTAGTAGTGGATTTATGCCAAAATTTTGTTCCGGCCTCACAACTTCGACATCAAACGTTGAAAACACTACACATAAAGGTTAATTTTCTATTTCCTACCTAATGGATTGCCGAATCCAAGTGCCTCTCCCCCTACCTATACTTTTCCAAAACGAGTTAACTATAATATTCCTTTTGACCAGCACTCCTCTAGTTTTTTGTATTTAAGGCTTTAACCAGCTCTCCCACGCAGATCTGCAGCAGAGATGGCGGTAGTAGCGAAAGCTGATATTGTGTCCCAAAACACCATAAAGCCGTCATCTCCAACCCCATCTCACCTTCAACACTTCAAACTCTCTCTACTCGATCAGTTAGCCCCTCCCTTTTACGTTCCCATTGTCCTCTTCTATTCTCCCCCTGATCATGATTTCAGCAAAATATCTGATAAGTTGAAGGCTTCTTTATCACAAGTTCTCACTCTTTATTACCCATTTTGTGGAAGATCCAAAGGAAATAAAAGCAATGCCTACGTGGATTGCAACGATGAAGGTGCTCTGTATCTTGAGGCTAGAACTTCACTCACGCTCTCGGATTTTCTCCAGAGTAATAATCATAATCCACAACCCAGTGAGATTAAAATGTTCCTTCCATTAGATCCTTACAACCCACAGCTAGAGAATGAGGAATATCCTTTTATAATGGAAGTCCAGGTTACTGAGTTTAGCTGTGGAAGTGTAGCGATCGGCGTGTGTATTTCGCACAAGGTTTGTGATGGGGCAACCATAGCTTCATTCCTTCAAGCTTGGTCTGAAAAAGCAGTGGCAGATGGAAATGACTTTTGCAATTCTCCTCCTAATATGGATGCTTCATTTCTTTTCCCAGCAAGAGATATAGAGATGAACATAGCGAGTGGTATGATTAGGGAGAAGAACATTTCCACTAGAAGATTTTTGTTTAGCGGAAAAAGCTTGAGTGAACTCAAAGATAAATTAGTTTCTGGTGGATGTAACTGTGAACCTACCAGAGTTGAAGCCGTGACTGCTCTCATATGGAAATCTGCCATGAAAGTTGCAGGAGGAGCTCATCAATCCATGGTGTCACATGCAATCAATATTCGTAGCCGCATGGCACCACCGTTGCCGGAAAACTCCGTCGGTAGCTTTCACTGAATTGTTGGCTACTAGTTAATAAGGATTTCTTTCTTATAATTACTATTGAGTATTGTTGTTCTCTTGTGGTTTTGAAGGTAATCTGTGGCAACAAGCTATTTCCGCATTGGTGGGAAGGGAGGTAGAACTGAGAGATTTGGCGGAGGTGGTGAGGAAAACCATAAAGAGAATGGATAGAGAATATGTGAGGAAGCTACAAGGAGGCAGTAGTGAAGGGGTTGGTGAGATTGTTAAATCATTGAAAGAAGTGATGTATTTGGTGGGGGAAGAGGGTGTTCCTTGTTATAGCTTTAGCAGCTGGATAAGGTTTGGTCTGTATGAAACAAACTTCGGATGGGGGAAGCCAACCTGGACATGTACCATTGGAGTTCCCATAAAGAACGTCATCATTTTAATGCCCACAAAATATGGGGATGGATCAATAGAGGCATGGGTCACCTTGGATGACCTTCATATGCCTCAATTTCAGCACTGCCCAGAGCTTCTTCAGTTTGCTTCTTTTGATCTATAATTTTTTTTTTTTTTTTGGTGTGCTCATCCTGCTGAGACTACCAGCTACTATATGTTTGCTAACTAATTTGGTGTGAGGAGTGAAACCAGCATTTGAATATAAATTATATGATGTTGCTTTTGGGTTTATATGAATTGCTGGAAGTGAATGATTCAAACATAAATGGAATCTTTATAATTGTATTGATGTTATGCAGGTTGAATTGGTGGAATTTTCCGTCTCTGTGAAAATAGTTTAATTCTATTATATGTCACTGATTTCATTTTCTTTATAATTTGGGAGATCATAATACTTGTTCTAAATGTCCACGCATGCAAGAGCCAACATTCAATCTCAGTGATATGCAATCAATCTTTCATCTTAAATATGATAATGGATATATTACTTTATTTTCTAACTAGAAATTAAAAGAATTTAACGAATAAAATAGTTATGCATTTTATTATTAATAAATAAATGCAATATTGTGGCCTCAAAATAAAAATGTCAACCCTGAATTAGGAGACATGATTTAATCCATATTGACCAGGATGTTTGGCTTTCTCAATCGAACCAAAATATGAGAGCCGTGTGATATTTGTAATTAGCGAAACGTATAATTTTAATTGAAGAACCATAAAATTTTCACTAAAATCATACCCATGGCATGAGCTTTGGGGAATTTATGACAGTTTACATCTGAGCAAAGGTCCTCTCGACGAAACTATAAAAAAAAATTAAATGCCTCATCATGAAAAACTGAATTATCACCAATCATATATTTAGAGAAACCAACAATTATACAAATTGACTTACTCATTAAGTTTCAAAATATAAATTAATGTTTTGATTCTTGATGATCTACCGACAAGGTGTCAATTCCTTGTTTTGATGTAATTTTTCGTTGTAATATGGCTATTCGTGGCTTTGTATTCAAAAAAAAAAAAAGAGCTATAATCATGTTTTTTTGGAAATGGATTCCCATGATGCTATTGATTTGCTGCTCCAGATATGACCTCGTTCTAATGCCTACTCCAACCTTGTTAGGTGTATTAGGAGACTGCTGAATCAAAACTGGCAGGTGATCATCAACCATGTGTATCCAGAGACTAATAGCACAGCTGATTTCTTGCAACCTATGTGTTGAGCTTCCCTCGTAGCAGCTTCGAGCTTCATGATCCCCCCTTCCCTTGCTTAGTATCCTTGAAGATAAGAAAGATTGGGCCATCTCAGGCCTTCGTTTTGCTTAGGGAGTAATTCCCCTAGGTATCTCTTTTAAAAAAAAAAAAAATCCACACCTATGGCATTTTTTTTTTTTTAATCCAAGATATTCTCATCGCCAACAACCGTGAACTTAATCCATCGAGAAATTTGAGCACTATTTAAGGGATTATCGTCTCCCAAGCGATACTTTGACAAACACACCTCCAAAAATCGAACCCTGAAAGGATATTTAAGGGGCAACTTCTGCGATACAAGTTTTTTTCTCTTTTATATCGCTCTAGAGTTCCAACGGGGAAAGAGATATGGAAGCACGGATTATGCCACTCCGACAAATAAACATGTAATGCTAATTGCTATTACCTCTGGTAATGACCTAAAAAAATTTGCTATTACGTCGAGCTGAACTCAATTCAAATTTAGTGGAAGTGGCTTTTCAGATTTACAGAACAGTTAAAACTTAGGAAGCCTCAAACAACCAAAATAAGTTGGAACAAGATAGTACTTCTAAAATAACAAAGATATAATGGCACTGCAAAAATATGTACCATTTATCTCACTTCCACGTGAGGGACTGCCTAATGCCTGTGTAAATGAGTCCTAAAGACCTTCCGATCAAGCAAACCAAAAAGAAAGATATAGCCTCACTTACTTTATCAATAATAGCTCTTATAAGAGGCATGGCGATGTCAGAAAATTCAAGGAAAAGGCTGAAGTAATATCGCCTGCAATACATAGATCATCAGCAGCAGAAACCCATCATGCAAATAATATTGAAGAATGGAGGGAAATTAAATTTGGACAAATACGAACAGCATCTTCCCCTTCCATTTTGTAGCCATAAATAGTATTATCAACTATCAAGATATGAGACCATGAAATATGAGTATTTCTTTTGAATCAATGTTTTCTTGTTTATCAAATGTAGTTGATTAAGATATGTTTCTTTGAATATTTGAAGGAGAAAGTGCTTCCAAATAAGGGAAACAGTAACTATTATACTACTCAAATATTCTATAGGACATATCATATTACTCAATTATCCCCCCAAAGGGAAAGTCAACATCCCCATGGCTACACCCTGCGACACTTTCACCCAATTTCCTTACCCCTTAAAACCCTCCATAGATAGTCCTTTCAAGAAAGGTCAACCACCAACTTTGACAATTGATAGGCTCTTAATTGAGGAGGGAAACCCTCCAAAGAAAGTCATTGAGGTGTAAAAACCAGCTGCTTAGATACATCGAAAGCATGTCATACTTCTTAATCTAGAATTCAGGTATCACATACTAATTTAGTGTCCATCAATATGCATTTAAGCTTTTATCAAAAAAGAATATGTACATAAGTACGTATGCCACAGATGAAAAGGAATGGTAAAATGATTATTCCAAGGATTCTTAGGATTCAAATAAGGCACGTATTGAAAAAGCATGCAAGCATTGTAAATTCATTATGTCTTTGCATCTTTGTTTCATGCTTGAAAGAAAATAAGTGTGGAAGAAAAATACCATCCTGTCAGGGCTCTTAATTCCTTAGTTCGCTTTACAGCCATGGAGAAACTGCTTATGACAATGTAATGTAATTTGGATGACACAGTATTCGATTTTCTCTGTGTTAACCTCTTCCACCAGCCTTGATTTTCAGTCTGGCTATTGCATGGTAGATCAATGGGTCGACTCTCCAGAGTGCACAAATCAAAGCGATCCTCAAACATTGACACAACCGTATCCATGTTGTGGTACAACCAATGGTTCAAGGCTACCTAACGGAGAATTTGTCAAAGTCTTGTTGAAATTTCACACAAAGTTTGAAAAGAAAGATAAAATATAAGAAATTAGTATATCTTAAATAGTACATGAACCCGATTCAGTTTGCAAGCATATAACTGACTCAATTAATTCCTAATCTTAAGAATTAAAATCTTACAGATCTGACATCATTTGGGACTGAACAAAAACACAATGGACAACAGAAGTATTTTGATCACAACAGGTGTAATTTACATTTTTCATACAACACAAGGAAAATAATGTCAAAAGAAAGTTCCGCACAGATGGGAAAGACATGATGATGATGGAAGTGGATTGAATCTCGATCAAGAGGATTTTGAAAACAATAGGCATACAGAGTTAAAATATCGTCTTTCCTTACATTGATTTGTTAAAGTAATGCACAGGACAGATCCTTTGAAACGTGAATGAGAGAGGGGGGAAAAAGGCATCATGTTTATAACGAGAGGTGCATGCAAATAAAATAATCCATAACACCTTAGAAAATTGACCCAAGTCTCAAAATAGCCTGATTTACGAAGATGTCATTTTGATTGGTTAGTGCAATAACAAAAACATTATATGGCATCCAGCAATATGAATAGAATTTGTTCATAAATGACAGCTAGAGATTATAAACACCTAACCCCTCCCACCATCATAAAATATTAAGCAAAAAGGGGGAAACCAACTCAGGTCATTCAAACAAGAAGAATTTTATACAATGGTTCCAAACCATAATTTGAGACAGTAACCAAAAATAATTACAAATGAAAAACACAGCTAATGAGGAAAAAAACCACTCCAAAGGACAAAAATCTAAAACATTCAGCTAAAAGGAACTTGCATTTAATTTTTACAGGAAAAAAAGATTGGGGGAGTAATCAATACAGTTAACAACATATAGAAAAGTTTATCTTTAGATGTTGACTGATACAAGTTCTCCAGATATTCAAGTTTTTTTTTATTTTTTTTTTTGGTGATGGAGGACTAAATTAATCAAAATAATTAATTTAGAAACTAGCACAAAATAGATGATGAAAATAGTAACATGCTTTTAGAAACTAACACAATAATTAATCCCTAACCTAAGCATGAAACTTGAAAAAGTACGCTAATTAAGTACCTCATTCCGTAGTTTTTGGAGTTCTCTGGTGGAAAAAACACATAATGACAAGTCTAACCTATTCGTTTCACTTGACATGTCACTATCAACAGAAATGAACTCCAAATACAAGCTGGCAACCTCATCTGCTAATGTTATCACCAAATCCTCCAATATAGAAATCCCATGCAAAGCAAATAAAGAGGGATCAAAGCAACAATCCTCCCTGGTAAATATTAAAAAACAATTAAAAAATGATGAATGGTGAGCATCCCACATCAAAGATCAAATACAAGAGAATCAACTTTAAAGGTGACGGTAATGATTCAAAAAGGCTGGCACAACATCATAGAATACGCCCAAAACAAACATTATGGTTAATAACACTTAGCAAGGCTAAAAAGGTTATTGCTAGGCACTCAAAAATCATGTAATCGCCCCAATATCAGATATTCCACCATAAAGACAGCATTCTTAATCAGGACAAACAAGTCTTTATCAATGTCATTTCATTCTAATAAACCATATACCCCAATATAAGGAAAACTACTGTCATTGACACCTTGCTGCATTTTGTGGCTTATGATTTCATGGAAAACCACAATAGCAAGGACAGAAGTATAATGAAAAACAATGTAGATAAAAGCCCTAATGCATGACCAAATAATTTATAACAAAGCTAATTTACAAAGTTGCACGTCCATTGATTACCCATCTAAACTGATATTAAACTACTTAGGTGAAGTATTGACTATTTGCACCAGAAAAAACGTCAAGGTCAATATATCTATAAAAGTTGTAGGAAATCACATGATTGATAAGCCGTGAACAATATAGCTTATCCCAGATTCCATACAAATGCATATGCATGGGACCCACTTTAGTTAAAACTAAGATCCTAGAGACATAACAAAATGCCAAGGGGTAAGCATGTACATACCTGTGAAGCATTTCTACTTCACAGCATGTAATGAAATAACCGAAACCTAGTTCGTGAACCAGAAGCAATACAATCAAGTACAGATGAAAAATATGATGCTAGCAAAACATAGAAAATAATGATAATCTCACCTGAAAGAACCACAAGTAAGATAGCACATTAATTCTGCATACAGGTCTATCTTGCCAGATTTTTTTATGCTTTGCACAATAATGCTGTCTCCTTTAACTTTTTCAAGTACCAGAGAAGCAAATTTCTAAGAACAAGAATGAAACAAGTATAAAATCAGCGTTTTATTCCAGTGATAGCCAAAGGGATGTGATGCATTCACTTTCCAGAAATACCTTTTCAGCAGTGCTCTTTCCAAGGGAAAACTCTTTTTCCAGCCAAGCCATACATATGGAACAATAAGATCTTTGAACAACTTCAGAAAACACTCTCAACCAATCATCCACAATGACAAGTTTGACATTGCTTGAGATATTATTAACCTGGAAAACAAAAGCAGAACTGTTGATCACAGTATAGAAAAAATAATCTGAAAGAATTAGGAGTTTCATAAAAGTTAATCACAAACTAAAAGAATCGTTTTTTTTTTTAATCAAAATAAAAATGTGATGGGATGAAAAAGAAAAGCATCACTGTCATCACAAAATGCACTAATTCATTTGGATACATGAATCAATGAAGAATGAGCAAATTTTATTCATTTAATTCTTATTTTCTCATATTGAGAAGATAGGAGGAGATGCAAAATTCAAGAATCAAGGCATTGACCTTGAGGACAAAGCTCAATTAGCCAGCCAAAAACCACAAAGTTTCTAAAATGTTCACATCTGATCATAAAAAGAGCTTGTAACTATACCTAGCCTACTTTACCACAATGGCATGCATATTTAAAATCAGAAAGAAACTTCATAGGAATATTAATTAGCATTAGCATGTGTTCAAAAGCAAATTTAATTATTTCCATTTCTAGAAAGCATTAATTATCCAATATTGTACACTAACTTCTAAAATCAAATTGCAATTAACCTATGCCCAAGGAAGAAGCACATAATTTTCTTAGCACATTTTAGAAAAATATAGAGAACAGTCACTTTGCATTTCTTTTTCTTTTTAATTTCAAAAAAACTAAGTAAAGAACTATCCCAACACACTTGAAATAAATATTATTAGAGATATGTTAGGTCGGAAACACATTCGAAGCAATTATTAGAACAGAACTATTGCTCCTCTTATCATTTAAATATCTCAGACTCCAAAGTTAATATACAGATAACATTCTTAAATGTAAAACAAACAAAAATGCCTGCCTCCTCCTCAATTTGCTCAAAAGCAGCCCAAAGCAACCGTAACTTTGGACCTTCAGCAACAGCATTCAAACTCAAGGGCCGCTTTACACATTGAGTGGTGCAGTCTCCTGAATAAACCTTGTATTCTAAAGTGTTTAGAGCATTCAAAAGCTTTTCCCTCACAACATTCAAGACATAGTTTGAATTAAGTTGATAATTATTCTTCACAGCACTGCAATAGAGAGAAAGTTTCTCAAGTAACTAACCAAAGCAGACTATAATCCTGTCTTCAAATACAAATAAATTTTTCATCTATGAATATCACAAAAACTTCAACCTTGTCACCTTCGACATGCTTACCCTTACCTACCAGAATTGTCTGAAGTTTCAGCAACCATATTTTTATCAGAAATGATCTTTTGACCACTGGCGTAAGATTTCTCAACAGGAATTACTCCAGCCATATATGTGAGAAATATACTGGCCATCAAAAGCACCCGATCAACAACTGGCACCAAATCAGAGGCTGTTGCACCATCAAAATCAACTAAAGTCCCCAAGCCAATGCTCATCAAGGAGGTCGCCTGAAGATGAGGACTGATATTCAAATCTTTGGAACCATCAGCACCTAGCTTAAACATTCTCCATGAAGAGAACTGACCAAGTTTACAGCCATTTCTGGAATTCTTTCTACAACAAGCATTCACAGGCTGGGTCAACCTACCATGTTTGTAATACCATTCATGAAAAATAAATGAAGACTATCCATTTGGTATAACCACATGATAGCGACACCTCTGACAAACTTAGTATTAGAAAGCAAAAGGATAAACCAGCAAATTTGTTGATGCTAACTATATCCAGAGTACGTTATAAAAATTGAAGAATCAAGCGCTGAAAATTTACTCCTGAATTTTTTAGTGATGAAACATTGATCACTAAAATTTCGTACCGATTAGGGAAAAGAAGTCCATACTAAGCCTTAATGTTTAGATATTATCAGCTTTTATTAATATTTGAAAGGATGTACTTAAGGGAAGAACTGCTATTTAATAATTAAATAATGAAAAGGGTTGCTTCTTTATTTTATTTTTTTTCAAGTAAATTCATTTTCTATAAATATTAAACAGATGCCAACAAACCATTTTCCATGCTAAAACATTTCATGTTCAGCCCTGAATTGCATTTTCAGGGAAATTTTCATTGAAGGTAACATCCCACACACAGTCATCGAACTCTGGAGCTATGGAAAGTTCAATCTGAGAAAATTTTATTTTGTTTTAAACATTGGAGCTGCTGTAGTCCATTAACCACTTAAATATACTTCATACAGAAAGACCTGCACAATTGAGATATTCCATTTTGGCAAGAACATATTATTACAATGAACTAAGGTTTAATATTGCATTTTCAGAGTTTTCATGATTTTATAAAAATTTACCACTTTACTTTTTGGGCCTCATAAGAATTTATTATTTGTATTTTGCTAAGTCAGGATTCTCATTTACTTGTCTCCTTGGGGTTTAATGGGAAGGAGGAAGGAGATGAAAATCAGAGCTAGTGCACAAAATAGGAGGGCTCATATAATGGAGCTGAGAGAAATGAAATGCACAGAAGGAAAATGCAGAAGTAAGAAGCATAAAACCTGTGAATAGTCTCAAAATTTGCAGTCTGAAATGAAAAATCTCTCTTTCTAATAGGCCTCCTCAGCATATGCAGCTTAACACACAATGGGGAAGCCACACAATCTGCCATTGATAAGAATTCTTGCCCCACAGTCAACACATTATCATGTAGTGCCTAATAAGTATTGTTGATTACCTAAAAACACCGACGAGAAGCAAGATGAAATTGAATGGAACAAGCACACAATCCGTTAATAAATATCATAAGCAGAAGAAAATCCAATATGCTGGAAATAGTAAACAAGGAAGCATTACAGAATAATACGAGCCAAGATATTTGACACTGACAAAAGAAGGGGCTGGCATATACTTTTGACGTTGTTCAAGTAGGTTCTCCTTAAAATACAAAATGTGAAAAGCATCGCATAACATGGAATAATAGCAAGCTTCCATCTGAATCTGCACACGACTGACAGTGGGTATATAGGAATTCCAACCCTTTCAGAGACGCTTGGGAATGCTTGTCTAACTATTACTGTTTAGTGGCATATGTGACCCGTTTCAGTCTTGTTGTCAATCCAAAACTTCAAATTAGCAATACAGCAATTAACGTGCAGCACGCGTACGGAAGCAACAGAACCAATACTTGCATTTCTTCTTTTAAAAAAAAAATTAATAACTGCATAATAAGTATAACATAGCTTAAAACTGAATAACAATACGGATAAACGTTGACAATGAAACAAATTTTGAGCTTAAACATCGCATGCGTCCACAGTGAAGTACCATAGAGCATTGCATCAAGACAACATGGATCAAAATTCAGATGCAAATGCCATGAGTACTGAATGGCAAGCACTGAGTCCACGCAGTGCTTGAGTGAAAGATAGGAGGAAGATTCTTTAGATTTGTTTTGTTTATTCTTACATATATTCCTAATTTTCGTTGTAGAAAGCAAAATGAGCTAAGAACCAAGCAAAAAGGAGATTGATGAAGATTGGATTTGTGCGTACCTTATTGCTTCGTTGCCCTCCTCTCAGTAGCCCAGAGTTTGAGAAAACAAAAGTACAAAACAATTACCGAGGACTCAAGGAGCCGTTCGGATTCTCCCAGCAGCACTCACCCATTGGGTCTCCGCTGCATTGAAACGGCGCCGTTTAGTGGAGGATCGTGGAAGAGTTCAACTTTTTTCGGACAAAAAAACACAAAAATGAATAAATTTTGACTTTTGAAAGGGGGGGGTCTTGACATTTATTCCCAAAGTCCAAACTAAAAGAAACAGTGAAAATTGCTCAAACAAACCTCACCAGGATTTCATTTGCTAAAAAGGACTTCAAACAATTTCTGAAATACAATCCGTCTCTAGCATTAAATCTAAATTACACCCGCGTAATAACCATTTTGTTCTTATTGCATTTGGGAAAAAAAATGCACGTGAAGAAGCTATTCTCAAGTGCGCGATAGTTCTGCAACCTAACATTTGATCATATCCAATGAAGCTTCACGTCCGATGACTAAGTTGATGACTTGGTTAGGTTAGTTTGTTAAATTTCAATAATGACGGCCAAGTATTCTTTGTTTTTCAATTTTGTTTGGTGACAATGGAGTTTGGTTCTGAGTTTTATATTCTTGCTAAAAGAGGTCAAAAGAAGCTGAACCAAGTATTTGCTCTATCACTTGCTCCTCCCATAAAAGTATTGCCTCACATTATAGATGTTAATGTCACCTAATGTAGAATTTGATAGAATGATTATATAATTTTTTGCTGATGAATGTTTTTTTCCTTTGACATTGAAAATGCAAGTGTATATAGCATCCTTATGAAAAAGAACAGAAAGAAATATTCTGTTACTTTTACATAGGTGGAAGGATTATTATTAATGAAGGGAGAGTGCAATATATTAGTGGCTAAGTAAATGGAAGGATAGTAAGTACTTTAATGTCAATTGATGAGTTAAGAAGAAAAATATATTCATGTTTTTTTATGTGAACTTAAAGGATTGTAATTGAAGTGCAAACTACAAGAATTAGATAAAACCCTTTATGGTAGACTTGAAAGATAATGAAGGAGTTTGACAACTAGTTGAATTTAATAAAAAATCTACATTTGTTTATACTTTGAAGGTGTAAATGAGTGTGAAAATGAAGTTGCATCTATGCTGGATTCGCAAGGGTTAGATTGTATAAAAACCTTAATTGGATTATCTATTTTTTGGATCTTCATCAAGTAAGGGTAGTTAAGAGCTTCCATGTTTAATTCAAAGTGCACCTGCTCCTTTTCCTGGGTATGATGCATCCAAGTAGAAGGACTTGCTTTTAGGTACAGGGAAAACTTTCAACAATGTAAGCATATTCAAGAAATCATTGTACAAGTATAGTTTCACACACAAATTTGTGTACAAGTATATCAAGAATCATGTAAGAAGTATGATAGTGAAGTGCATAATTAATGGGTGTCCATAGAAGATAACTGCTTATGCAATAAGCTATAATTCAAAGTTCTTATATGTGCATTCCTTGAAGAATAAGTACATTCACTCAGCCTAGGATAATTTTATAATTCATAAAAAATTCACCTCTGAGTTGGCTTTATCTATCATTAAGGATAGTTTGAGGTGTTTATTAGATAAAGCATCAAATGAGATAAGGCAGGACTTGTGTTATGATCTATCATTGTCTTATGACTCAATGTGAAAAGGAAAAGAGCAATCATTGATAGATATATAAGGATCTCTTGTCGAATATTACAAGTTAATTCCATAGTTTTGACAAAGACTAATGGAAGTTGACCTAATAACTGTGGCTAAATAGGCTGCGTCAATCGACCATAAATTTTAAAGGTTGTTCATATCATATGGATGTTAAATAGAAGGATTCTTAAATGGTTATTGAAATATCTCCCTTATTGAATACAATTAATACTTAAATCTAAGGTAACTAAGGGAATAACTCAAATAATATTACCAAGTTTTGTAACTTGTAGAAATGGGATCTTAATTTTTCATCATTTAAAATAAATTAAAATCGTGTGTTAAACTTGTAACTAGAGTAAGAATATTGTTATAGAAGCATGGAATACCTCAAAGGAGTGAAAAAAATAATAAAAAATAACAAGTTCTAAAAAATAGTGTATTGTGTTGCAGCTTGTGTATATGGGTCACGACTTCCCACTTTTTGTGCCACGCGTTATGGCGTGTTACACACATTAAACAACATTTTTGCTATCATTTGCTATCATCACGACACCCGAATGAGATGATATAACTATCTACAAAAAGCTTTTTTCATAAACTAACTAATGGCACAGGTTTTACTTTCATAAGTCACACAAAGAAGTTGAACTCCCAAACATAATTTCAAACCATTTTTACAATTCTCACAAGTCAAAGGTGTCTAAAACCCACACATGTGCCAAAAGCCATTCCTAATATCCAAACCACATGCACACAATCCCAATCAAACCAATCAAACCACATGCACACAATCCCAATCAAACCAAATTTTCACCCCTCAACCCCTTTGACAACAAAATAGAAGGGGAAAATTTTAGCGTTGTATTTTACAATCAACATCCACAATTATGATCAAATCAATATATCTATACTTGCACTAATATTTTAACCCTATCAATACTTTAATAGCTTGCATATAACAATCCAAGCCCAAAACACATTTCAAGTTCTTTAACAACAATATAGTGCAAGTGTGAGTAAAATGTATCTTAATTGACAATATTTAATCTATTATACAAAATAAATGAGAATAAGAGACTTTACAGTAGGAATTCTAAATTACTAAGCCTTAGGAGCTTTTTTACTTTCTACACCAAAGCTAGAGCTTGCAAAGTATTGAAAGAGAGGGATAAGTCTAGCCACTCAATAACTAAGGTACACCTACCTTATGCAATTGTATATCAATTGATTAAACATACATAGAGGGAGTCAAATGCTCAAAATATACTATTACATGTAACATAAATTGTCATTTCTCAACTAAATTCATTTTCATAATTCTCATCTCAAATTACACAGCACATTGCCACATGACACACAAACATGTGACAATGACCTAATTCATTATCACGATTTGCCATAAATTGAACAACCATATGACACGTCAAATGAACACATATGTATGATCAAGTTCACTTATACCCTCATTATATCTTTTGACTGAAATTATGGGCTATAATATTAAATAAGGTTCTGTCCGTGTAACTAGACAACCCCAGCTCACCAATTGTAAAATGTGACCTGGCCAAATATTATAGCACTCATTCGCAAACCATAATTTTTCTCACTCTTAAATCGTTAGAATGTCATATACTCTAAGCTAATCTCCTCAATAAATTGGTGAAAATAGCTAAGTTCTAGTCCCTCAACAAACTATAGGATAGTCCCTTGACAAACATTAAGATAGGGCTAATCTTCATGCACTAAATGGCAACTATAGATATCGTATGGATTTTCTAGTTCTCTCCTTAGATGAACTCTTGCCAAATGATCCGCAACGTAAGATACTCACTTGTTTCACAATTTCATTTACTTAATAACAACACGTAACGTTCATGCTATGACGCTACCGAAGTAAGCATCAATATTATTTTCACAAACCTTCTCAACTTAAACTCACAATCTTATAACACATTTCAAATCATCATTTAGCAACACATATATCATTCACATTTCAATACAACCATATAATCATCGCACATCATGCTTATCATTTCAATTACATGTCAAAATTTAGATATTATTTTAAGTTTAACTCTATATTGTAGTCAAATCAAACATATATGCACATTCATAGTTCAATAAATCATCAAGGTTTTAGGGTATGCTTTCACATTCACAATTCAATCATATATGTAAATATGTACATTTTCACATTAAACTCAATTAACAAACAACTACTTAAAATAAGGTTCCCTCAATTACATCAAACTTTTAAGAGGTTAAAAGTTTACCCCTCAATAACTTGCTTTTAAGCTTGCTTTCCAAGCCAAACATAGTGCCTAGATAATTAATCAAGTCCAAGTCATCAACATTGTCAAATACACACTTTCAAGCTCTCACTTTCCACTTCTAAAATACTTAATACCCTTATTTCTCATATAAAGGCTTATCTATTGGTTGTATTAACTTCTATCTATTCCTAACTAACCATTATAAATCTCACATAGAGTCATTAATGCCTCAACTATCCTCATAACTCACATTTAATGAGTTATTTTTGTATATGAATGAAGCTTACCAACCAAAAACTTATAAAATCATCAATACTAGATTTAAACAACTTAAACAACACCTCTTAACTCTATATAAGTCAATAGATTCGGACTCACAGCTTATATGGACTAAAAATCACCATTCCCTTTCAAACCATAACTAAAAACTTCAAAAAAATGGACTGGGAAAGGAGAAGAAAAAGTTAGGAGATTTACTCTTAGGATTTAGTAGCTTCAAAATATCTCTAACTTTCTTAGAATTGAAGCCCTAGCAAAGCAAAAGCAAGCTCCTTCGTTCTCCCCTTCTTTCTCTTTTAATTTTTGCATCAGTCTTATTTTTGCAAAAAGTGGCACTTTGGGCTGCAGCGCATGTCCCTATACACTATGACATGTGCTACAGAGAAGGTTGTTTTATGTGTTCTGGACACACACACCACAGCATGTGGCACCAATGCCTTCTTCCTTTCTTTTTCACCTCTTTTAATTCCTAAGTGACCTCATTTCACTTTAAACCTAAATTTATGATTGGAATCACACAAAAAATGCTCATTAGCCCCCTCTGACTACACACCACATAATTCTCACTTATTTATGCTTAATTACTTAATTGTCAGGAGTTTAATTTTTCAGGATGTTATAGTTGTTGGTCTCAATTGTATATTAATGGATGTCACTTGAGTG